TTGCTATATAAGTGCCCAAAAGGTGCCCAAAAGAGTGCATTTGTTGTACGAGTCTATCAATTATGCATTCATTAACTGTTCAGTCATTTGCAGTCCATTCAACTCTATTACCTCTATTAGCTTATATTGATTGATTCATCAGTGACACTATAGCAAACTGTCACTCCATTGACACTTTTGTGCTGGCTTACTTCTACTGTAAATTATAAGTTAGTACTACAGTACACTGTACCGGTATATCATATTCATATGATATGGTATATGATTGGTATTGAAGGTACACTACAGTGTAGTCATCGTATTGTATAAGCGATTGTCAAGTATTGTCAACATATAGCCATTCATTGCATTACAAACTGTCATATGTTTTACGAATTACCAAACGATACATACACTGCACTCCCAGTTATATGTACAGTATATTGACTGTCATTGTCACACCACTACTACTGTAATACAGTGACATTCACATCAATATAGATACAATTGGATGCAAATGACGTGACCTGTTATTACAATACTGTATACCTGTTACTATACGAGTGTATGACTAGTAACTGGTGTTAGACTGTATGCCCGATAGAGTGACACAACGAGAGTTGACTGTATGTGTAGTGCACTGATTGGCGCCAAACCATTCGATTGAGTGATAGAATGAATTGATGACTCATTGGACTGATTGGCCATCCATTGACTGACTTGTGTTCACATCTCAGACTCATTGCCGTGAAGACGATGAGTGTCTGTCTGTGTATGAGTGGTGCAGTGGACGAGCGGATGGCAGAGCTGTATGTGAGGCAAGAGATCACAGACTTGCGACTCGTGTGCAGCGATGGCTCAGTCATGGCTCACACCGTAGTGATGGCCTCAATGTCAGAGCCATTGCTATCGTATCTGAAGACAACGGTGTCGTCGCCCGCCATCCGAGACATCGTCTCATTGGACACTTCAGTGGCTGACGTGAAGAGTGTCGTTGATATAGTTTACTTCGGGCGACAGTCAGTGGACGCCAAACGAGTGCAACACTTGACACGAGTGGCCAAACGATTGGGTCTTCACTTGCAGACAGCCGTCAGCGCAGTCTTGGAGACCACAACCGCTCCGCACAAACACTGTCTTCTCACGGGTCACGAAACACCGGATCCATTGCCAGACCAACAGATGACACGAGGTTTGGATCAACTCTTTGCCAATGCATTGGTTTTATAACAAATGAAATCATTTTTGATAAGAAACAGAAGAACTGGCCATTGATTTGTCGATCACTTCGAGACCCGACCATCACATGGAAGACAATGTGATGAAAACGATTGAGTCGATTGTGGCGAACGGCCCGCAGAAGACACCCCGACGTCGCAAACAATCGGATCCCAAACCAGTGATTGTCCACAAGAGTGGCAAATACGACACGAATGAAGAGCTCATTGAACCGATGGATGCGTCCAATGGCACAGTCGAGGCATGTGATCAACAGCTCACGAATGGCTCACCTCTGGAACCATTGAAACACCATTTGTCAGAAGAGTTTATGGTTGAAGCGATGCCGTTGACAGTGCCGGTGCCCACTGCCGGTCACCCAATGGACACGATTGGCTCCATTGCTGACGGACTGGCCATTCATACCATTCATAGTCTATGCGGCGATTTGTTGGCGTCAGTGAAGCCTAAGATCCGAATCAGTGGCAAAAGTTTGGGCAAATCGGTGGAGGGTTTGGCTCCATGTAAGGAGTGTCCCATCTGTTTGGTGGCCTTCTCGACGCCCAAGCAATTGATGGCTCACTTGAATGCTTGCCATAAGACCGATGATGGCTTCAAATGTGAGAAGTGCGGCAAAGAGCAGAAATACGCCAAGACTTTGCTCAAGCACTCCATCGCTTGCAAACCCAATGTCTAAACCATTCACTTCACTATTACTTCACATTTCATCCGTTTTTAAACTTTTCTTTTCATTTTTCATTTATAATTGATTTTTATTTACGGTAAATGTTTTATTTTATTTGAAATGACTTTTGACTGAATAGTTTGCAAAACGACAAAATTTCTATTATTTAATGTATTGATAATTTGAGTTGTATTTATTTCTATAATTTTTCTAATTCTCAATTCTAACATTCATTTGAATTTCTTATATCAAATTGAATTTATTAATATTTTATTTTGATACTTACAAAAGTATAAGAAATGTTATACAGTACTTTTCTATTTGCGAGACATTTAATAAATTGTAAATTTTATAAACTAACATTAAAACAAAAATTAACTGCAATTTGCTGTCATTGAATAATACAAGTAAAAAATTTATAACTAAAGTTATTACCGGTAATAATTAGTTAATAAAATACTACAATAATTACCGGTATAATTGAAATATTAAATACTGCACTTACGCACATGTATGGAATATGGTGTGTATGGCACCTGTAGTCGATAGATGTACCATTTTAATGCTGTTTTGTAGTGAATTTAGTGTACACTTAAGGCTGTATTGGATGCCAACCGAAGACCTCTTGAGTACAATTTGGGGACAAATGTATTGATCGGAGTGTTTGTATGGCTGTTCACAAGTTGTCGCCTCTTTAGCCGTAAGTTTTCAAAGATGGATCGTTTGCTCGTTTAGAAATTGTTGCATAAAATGTGATTTTTGTTTAATTATCTCATTCAATGTGTTATTAAGTGTTGAATCCAATGAATTACTAATGAAATCCAATTTTGACATTAATTATAAGTTTCAAACTGTTTGCTCTAAACTGTAATATCGATCGCAAAACTTCTATATAATTAGCCGCAAGTGAAGCAAAAAACAGGGCAACAGTTGTTGACTTTTTGCCAATCGATATATCGACTAAACTATTACTTTTTTGCCAAAATTCTCAGTTTAAATAAATTATGAATTTTGAAGCAAACTATTTTCTAGAAATTCTTTACGAATTCATATATTATTTATCAAACAATTTGTATTTTAAATTAAGTTATATTTATTTTGGTTGTAGTTTGTATTTAATTTGTTTTTATTCTTACTTTTTATGAAATAGGAATTTCAATTTTTTGACAAATAATTAATTTCTAATCAATTTGCTATCATTATATTGAGTCACATACTGAATTTATTCACTAATTCTTTATAAGTGTACATTAAATGTATTTATACAGTATTAATGCACTATTCTGTACAATAATCCTACAATACCTTTATAAACACAAAACCTTTTTTATAAATAAAATAAGTATTAAAATTTTATTTATTTAATAAATATATATATATAAGGATTTGTGAGTAAATTCCATCACTTTATTTATATTGCAATACAATGGACGACAAAAATGCCAATAATTTCGTTTTTCTTATATTATAAATGATAGGAATATTATTCTAAGATTTTATTGCTTTGGAAAAACATATAATCCATTACTTGAATTGTTTTCAATTATAATTCAGACTTTAATAGAGGACTTAAAAATAGTATTTAGTTATTTAGTTCACATAAACCACTATTTTTATGATTCAAATGATACCCATTTATTGTAACATTTTTTCAATTTTTATGTTCTTTTGAATTGAATTCATGACAAAAATTACAAATCGTTTTCTTAGTATTGAATAAATTCTTGACTTTCTTTGAGCTAAAAAACAAATTACTTGAAGTAATAAAACGTTTTAAAACCTCTTTTTGTCATTTTAATGAATACTCAAATCTTTTCATCAAAAATTTCGTCTCTCTCTCTTTCTCTCTCTCTCTCTCTCTCTCTCT